GTAGAAAGTTAATTTACGAAAGCGAGTGCATTTACGTGCTATAATTATTTCTTGCATGTTTCGTAAATCTGACTCTTTCTTCGACCAAAAAAAAAAAAAACATACACATTTCTCCTCATCGTATATTATGTGTTGTCTCACGTTCCATTTTTCATTGCTTTTGCAGGATTTACAGACCGTTCGTTTCTAGATAATGATCCGATTGCTGCCACGCGATTGTTTATTTCGGACGATAAAGCCGATGCACGCACGCAGGTCATTTGCGCGAACCCTCGTCGTCGTCGCCTTCGTGAAAACTCTAAAAATAAAGCCAGTCGAAGCGTGAGTCAAGTGCGCCTCGTATCCATATATCAGAGCTAAACTAGACCAGCTTTGAAGATCTATCGATCTAAGGATCAAAAGCGTCCAGAAATATCGGCCTGACGTAAAAGATCCAAATTCGCGGTTCAGGATCCAAGGATCTGGGTGAAGCAAGAACGACCGCAGCCACTCGCAGATATTATTGCAACAACGTATAGTTCTCGCACAGTTCGAGATTAAGTAATCATCCTTGAACTCGTTTATCCAATAATTGTATAAGCGCTTTTAGTTATTAACGGTAAGTCGATGTCAGCGAATTAAGGGTTTAAGAAGTAGTACAGTGAATGTTTTAAAGATCTTTTATTAGTATAACAACGTTTTATTTTATTTGTTACATAATTCTTCTTTAATTAAAGCGTCTTTTTTTACTGTGTAAAAATTGCGCGTTTTAATTTGCGAAAGGGTATAATCGATATATATAAAGGGTAGTTTAATATATTTTGATTAAAAAGTGCTTGGAATTTTTATACAAGGTTCTTAGGCGAACCTGCATTCGTATATGCGACACGTAATTTAGTTTTCTGATTTACGTCATTTTCCTGCCGATTTAGATCGCTATTTCTAAGCGCTGTAAAACGCACTTTTACGACGAGTTGACTTATAGGAATGTTTTGTTGGTATACATTAATAATAATCGTCGATCCGTTTATTTTGACGTTATGCCAGGCGTGAGAAAAAATATTGCCAAAGTACACACACGTGGCAACGATTGTGCCACGCAAAACATCTATTTTCGCCACAAAAAATAAAAGAGTTCCACCCGGTGTTGTAAAGCGCGTTGATCCGAGAGCGCCATTTCCGTTGCATTCGTTCGAACTTTTGTCGGCTTTCTCGCTTTGCGGACAGTCAATATGCCGAATAAGCAAAAGCAAATGATGTTCTTTTGGAAATAAATAACTATAAGCTTTGGTCGAAAAGAAATAGGTCATCAAACAGAATGCCGCAGCGAGGATGTGCAATAATCGGAGTTTCTCCGTTCGTTCATTATCCAGTCGACACGCAATCTTTCCGTCTTCCATTCGTCACTCTAATCTTTGAGCCCATTATTTTAGGTTTTAAATTATTTAAATAAAACGTTATAGCCATAATAATTATTAAATTCAGAGCGCAATTCTCTTCCGTAAATAAAATAGAAAATACGAATACAAATTGTTAAGAGCTATGCGTACACTTTGAGAGCTTTACAGAACATATTTTTTCTGCTAAAATTCCTGCCGACTTTTCCAGGTCCCTGAGTATCGGAGGGAAACAGGTGGAGGCGATCGAACGCGCGAGGAACGCTACGGCGTGCGCCTACAGCGCTTATCACAGCACCAAGGATATCCCGGCGAGCGCGCGCGGCCACCGAGAGGATCTGCCGATCGCCATGAGAGTCCTCGGCTCCGGTTTCCTGACCACCTGCCTGCAGATCAAATACTACCGGCTGGATGATCAGAGCCACTGCGAGTGGGGTGCCAGATTGCACTGCATCGAGCTCGATTGCTCGAGCGTCGAGGGACGTCTCGTCACGGTGGACCGGGAGACCTACAGAAAGCTCGGCATAGAATCTTAACGAAACGTCTCATCACGCCGCACCGGCGGCGCGTATCGGCTCGCTGCCAGCTCGTTACATAGGAACGACGAGGAACCCGACGCCGCGCCGCACAATCGATGCCTCTCGCACGCGATCGGCTGAATATACTTTACGCTCGTAAATGGTATAAACACAGGTTGCACGGGGGGGTTTATGTTCGGATGAGTTAAGAACCCTAATCTTGGGTCCATACTTTTTGCCTAGAAAACCCCGAGCGTATAAGCATAAAGGTGGAATCGATATAACGAGTCTAATGTATTTTGACCAAAATTGTTAAAATTGCGATATATTTTTTTTCATTAATATAGAAAAACAGGAGCCTATAAAAATTTTGCCTATTTAATTATATAAATTTTGCCCAAATATTCGCCCCCCAACACTTCGAAAATAAACTTTGGGACGAACTTAAGTTAATCGTCGCGCCAGATTATGTTGAATGAGAAAGACTTCGTTAGAAGGGTATTTTCAATTTAGTACGACGAATATAAATTGCGTAGAAATTCCGTGGAAGTATCACGATCGACGCGTAATTGAGATTGAACGTCACCAGCTGGCTAACAACATTGTGTTAATAGCGTGAGTCAAGTTATTCAGAGAAGCCTGTCGCAAACTGATCTTTTGAGGATTCCTCCTCATCAAAGGAACACTGAAATTTTATATTAAAGAGATCGCCTGAACGAAATTAAGAGTATTATTCTTATATTCTTAGAAATTTAAAAATTAGGATTTAAATATATCCTATAGAAGTTCCATGCTTCTATGCGTTAATACATTATCGATTGCATTGCATCGATTGCATTGCACAACTAGCGTATAGTAATTATTACACACTACTTTCGATGCAGGATAAATTATAAACATCTAACGTTAGAAGGAATAATCAATTACAATTATTTTCGGCTGATATCTTCCATTATTTAGCGAAGAGAACTATTGCAGGAATCAATATGATAGAAAAACAAGCTCCAACACATACGAACACATCGATAATGAAATACTTGTTACATATGACGCTTTACGTATGTATTATGTGTCGAACATACGCCCCAACATACGCGTTATTGATTATCGATTAAGACTTAATTGCCAGACGAATAAATAGTGAGGTAATATGCCGCGGTGAGGAAGAATGTTTTTTTTTCCTAATTGAAAGCATCGACAGAAGTCCTACTCGTCAACGGCGCGGTGTCAGCTTTCGTAAAACTTCGCCATCGCGAAGTGCACGATGCACTTTCGCGCGTACTGTTAACGCGTTCGCTTTAGTGTTAATTTTTCTCATTTACGGTAATTTTTCCGTCTCTCTTCTTCTCTTATTTCATATCTTCGCACTTCTCAGCGGATGGAGGATTTTTGTATCGAGATAGCTCGCCCGATACACACGCTGTCGTGTGTAAATTAACTGCAGAAACGTCCTCAGATGACGATCGCTACGATATAGGTATACTCGAAGCACCGCGAAAACTTGGGCAATCATCGAAGTGACCAATTAACGCCTTTAAGCTTACTGTAATTGTGCAAGTTGTTTCTACTTTCTCTACTCGTTCAATGAATCTTAACGAAATTATCGTTGTATAAGTGTACTGCATATACAGGGTGATTCTCGATTATATGTTTATACTTTATTAGAAGGTGTCATATATGTCATATGACTCATATGCAAACGTGGATTAAACATTCATTCTCGAAGTCGCACCAATCGTGTGGGCGTAATCGAGGCACGTGCATGTATTTAAATATTCACACTGTGTGTTCGTTGTACTGTCACTGCAATCAGTCTTGCTCGTCCTAATGTGGATGACGAAAAAGAATGGACAGTGAATCAAATTTTAGAGATCGCAATGCACGGAATTTTTTTGCAACTTCTTACTCCTATAAATGTATAATTAACAATCACTCTGGTATGAAATCTAAGAAGAAATATATACAATTTACATACAATGCAAAATCACACGTCGCGTCTTTTCTGTTCTCATCTTACAATCATAATTGCGGTGGTACGTAGTGCAACAATGCATCGGCGATATCTCTGTTCCGCAACTTCTCCACTTGCGCACGCATTCGCACCGCCAGCCTGTTCGAGCGCTTCAGATACATTGCCGAGTGGTGCAAGGCGATCGTAAAGGGAACCGGGCACCACGTCTCCCTGACCACTCCGCGAACGAGCGCCGTCATGTAGCTCTCTATGAGCGACGTGTCGTCCTCCTCCGGATAGAGATACTCCTTCAGCGGCAACACCAACTTCTCCGGCGGTAGTTTCAGGTATCGCAGCGCGGCCGCGTGTTCCGACCACAGCAGTTTTCGATAGTGCGGATCGTGCCGTTGCGCCGCCGCCACCAGCAACGTCATGGCGTAACCGTCGTCGCCGTACGAGGTCGAGCAGAAGTGCTCGCACAGCGCGATGAACAGATCGGTGAAGGAGCTCAGCCCCGGCAGCTCTGTCTGGAAGTTCAATCGCGTGTGGTACCTCCTCAACAGATTCGACAAAACGTTCAGCAGCAGCGTGGACACATCGCGGTCCAGGTAGATGGTGTCGCAGAGGTACACCAGTATCAGTCTGCTGAATCTCAATGTGGGCGACAGCTTCTCCATGAGATCGGGCAGGACCAACGTCAGGCTCAGCACCGTCAGGACGCTGTCCTTATCCTCCGACTGCAATTTGATATCGTTTTTGCACTTTGTGTACATGTGAACCAGCGGCAAGAACAGCCAGTCCTTCGGCATCGCCGCTTGATTCCAATCGCCATTCGGCGTGACGTATCTCTCGTACAGCGACGCCGCGTCGGAATGCGAGCCTATCTTGACCTGGTCTACCGTGGACGCCAGATCTAATTTGGCCAGTTCGTTAGTGATCATTTCCAAATTCACTTTTTCGTTCGATAACGCGATTTGAAGGAGCTTCCTCACGTGATCCGTGGCATCCGCGGGCAATGACGAGATGAGCTTGATGGTGATCCTCCACACAATTTGCGCTGTCTGATTATTGATTGTGTCCCCGAGGAGGGATGCTGATTTTACTACCGCTGTCAAAAGATAGAACTCCGTTCTGCTGTACCACGATCTTTCCAAACTCCACTCGGTCGTTTCCAGCTCTCGTATGTATTTGCGGAAAGACGGGTGTTCGAGTATTGCACGAATTTCTGCTACGCGTGAGCTACTGTGAAACGTATTCAGTATCGTCGCCAAGAATGGTATGCATGAATGCACCGACACGATCGGCTGCAACTCTCCGTTCTCTGTGAGAACATTCAAATTTGGAAGGCAAGATGGTTCCCGATCCGTAGTCGTGTTACAGTCGCTCAATAAATTTGAACTGGAACTACAAGAAAATGAATATTGTAAGTTGTCATTTTTATACACACGTTTCGAAGTAATAAAAAAAAAAGAGTCTCTTACCGAAGATTTGAGAAAACGTGCTGATTGGATAGCCACGTTGTTTTGAATGCGGAAATCTCGTCAACGGCGGATAAACTCTTTGCGATTAATTTCATAACACCCCACTGAAATTTACGACATTTCATAAGCCTTCTCGAATATTGATAAGTGTTAAGATAACAATAAGGTTGATAAATATTAAGGAAACATACGAGATACAAATATAGCCTTAACATTTTTTAAGGTAATTATTTCTTAATAATTCTTGATAAATTGATGACAAATAGATCAATAATTGCTCTCACCGTTACATTAGATACCGACGACAACTGTGTACTCCACTTCGCCAGCAACGTAGAGATGTTCGGTTTTAATGTTTTCTCGTGACTCGCCACAGCAATTAAGGCCGCGGCGTGCTCGCACGCCAACTCGGATGTATTTTGAATATCATGATTACTTAATAACAGCTGCAATTGCGATATGAGAGTTAACTGGGCGCCTGCGACACTGTCCAATCCTATTTCGTAATGCAACAATATTCGCCAGAGCCGCAGGCTCTCGATGCTGAGACTTATGTCATTGTTCCTGCTAAAGTATTATGTGTTTAATAAAATAAATGTATGTAAAATTAGCAGACGCATGAGAATGCTTACCTCGTTTCACTGCTAATGTACGTTAGGATGGCTTGAATAATTTTGAAGTTATCCAATTTCTGCGCGACGGGCTTCTTGCCATACGTGACGAGAACACGACACAACTTAATCGCCTTAACTACGGGAATCCCGTAAACGTTCTTTATCGTGTCCTGCATCGCTGTAAAGAGATTCAGATTTTTAAATCTTACCCAATAATTATTTATCCAATAAATAGATTTTAGATTTAATTAAAACCTATCTAATAACTTCAAGCTTAATTTACCTAATTGGTCTATAGACAGTGGTATAAAATTCTGGACAATGGTGTCTAACAAATATGGCGTGGACGAGATATTCAATGCCGTAATGTGCGAATGTCTCGCAAGACGGATGAGTATCTCTAAGGCACACGTTACTCCAACAGGTGGTGGATGCATCTCATTTAAAATGTATCTACAAATGGTTACACTCAAATCAGTTTTACAATTTCATGTGCTGTTGAAGAAGACTATAATAAAGTCATGTGATTACAAGAGTCTTAAGCGGGAAACACAGACTTTTGCATAACGCATAATGCATAAGCATAAGAAAATTGATTGGTCTATTTCCTTATGCACATGTATATGGACCAAACAATTTTCTTATGTTTACGCACTATGCGTTGTGCAAAAGTGTGTGCTCCCCGCTTTAAGATTATCAATATTTAAATCAAAGTATTACGAATTTAACTAAAAATAATGACAAAGTTGTACCTGATTCTCAATAAAAAATCCGATCTCAGTAGCGTAGCCACGGTATCCAACTGTGCCAATTCGTGATCCTTCAGGCTACTTGTATCCTTGTCTTCAAGTTGAGGCGTCAAGGTGGG